CCCGGCCGGTTCCTGCCGGTTCCTGCCACTGGGGAGGCATGGCCAGGCCAGGGGAAGGTCAGGCCTGTCAGGCCCCGGTCAGCAGAGACAGACGGTGTTACCGTCCTCTGTGTGGGTGTGGACTGACACCCCAGCACAGCTTTCCTTGGGGCCCCCAAAACCACAAGGTGGGCTTTCCAGGCACACTCCCCTCATTCCTGTTCACCCGGGGCGCTCTGCGATCACTGGGCCCAGTCTGATGCTAGGACACAGGGAGCCCGTGCTAATTATGAGCCTTGCCCCCCACACACCCCCTGCTCCCAGCGGTGGCAACAAGCGGAAGCTGAGCACAGGGATCGCCCTGCTTGGAGAGCCTTCGGTCATCTTCCTGGATGAGCCATCCACTGGCATGGACCCCGTGGCCCGGCGCCTGCTCTGGGACACTGTGGCACGGGCCCGAGAGTCCGGCAAGGCCATCGTCATCACCTCCCACAGGTAGAGCCGGGGTCTCGGGGGGTCAGTGGAAGAGCCGAGACGAGGGCTGGCCGGGTGGGGCCGGGTGGACAGAAGACCTGTCAGCAGCTGGCTCAGAGTCTGTGAGGAAAGTCGCCAGCTAGCCATGTGGGCCACCCTCTGAACACGGGAATCAGGAACAGTGTGATCCGGCCGTCGACACCGGCCCCTCTGCCTGAGCCTTTGACACGGAAGGCAGGCGTCGGCTTCCCCCGGCCCCGTGTCAGGCCTCTGCCCCTCTCCCCAGCATGGAGGAATGCGAGGCCTTGTGCACCCGGTTGGCCATCATGGTGCAGGGTCAGTTCAAGTGCCTGGGCAGCCCACAGCACCTCAAGAGCAAGTTTGGCAGCGGCTACTCCCTGCGGGCCAAGGTCCGGAGCGACGGGCAGCAGGGGGCGCTGGAGGAGTTCAAGGCGTTTGTGAACCTGACCTTCCCAGGTGAGGGCCTCTGCGCAGAGGGCATCTGTGCCTCACCCCTGCCGAGTCCCCCGTCCCTGACCCCTGGGAGGAGGGCCATGATTGCATGGTCCCCGGCCCTCCAGCCTGGCCCTCACGGGGACACGGTGTCTTCTTCATGCAGGCAGCGTCCTGGAAGATGAGCACCAAGGGATGGTCCATTACCACCTGCCTGGGGATGACCTCAGCTGGGCCAAGGTGAGTGTGGGCCCTGCCAGCCTAGCTGGGGCTGGGGAGGGCCCTTGCAGCTGTGACTCCTTCTGTGGGGCTTCTAGGCTCCTTCCATAGAGGAGTCTCTTATGGTTTCTGCTCTAGCACTCATCCTAAAATCTGCCAGGTTCAGAGGCTCATTTGAGTCAGAAAAAAATGGGTGCAAAAAAGGGAACTGGCCCAGAGAGCGTGCCCAAGGTTGCACCCCAAGCTGGGAAGATTCGGGGGAAGCCTGGCCCCAGGGCCTGCTTATCTGCACAGCCCCCCTCCTCTGCCGGGGAGCACGGGGCTCTGGCTGGGTCAGGGTAGGACCTCTGGGAGCCTTACCCTCCCCCACCCCTTGGGGCCAGAGCACTCCCAGACCAGCCAAGGTGCCCCCGCTCCTGGGCTTGTTAACAGCTGCTTTTCTGCTCCCACAAGGTGTTTGGTGTTCTGGAGAAGGCCAAGGAGAAGTACGCCGTGGACGACTACTCCGTGAGCCAGATCTCATTGGAGCAGGTCTTCCTGAGCTTCGCCCACCTGCAGCCACCTGCCGAGGACGAGGGGCCATGAGAAGCCAGCAGGCGTGGGGCAAGTGGCCGCACAGGCAGGCGTCCTCCCTCTCCGAGTTCATCTTCTCCTGCACCTTTATTTCCAATCACTGTTTTCTATAATGGACGCGAGAATCAAGGCACAGTGGGGACCAGGATGTCGAAGCCCTCGCGCTGGGAATCAGCATGCGAACATCCATGTCCAAGGCAGTGGCCAGAGCCCCTCTCTGGAACTCGGGACCCAGCAAAAGCAGCCCCGCAGCCCGTGCGGGTGAGCCTTGGGGTCTCTGGGCAGAGAGCCCCTCGGGAAGGGGCTGCAGCCGACCTGGGGGTTGCATTTCCTCAAGTGCTCACAAGACGAGCACCAGTAACACCCCCACGTCTGCACACAGCATGGAGCCTCCCTGGGGCGACACGGGGAGCCAGCAGGACAGCGGGCAGCAGGGCTCGCCAGGCTGCCCGGAATGGAGAGAATGTCGCCTGTGGCCGTCCACGAGGGAGGTGCTGGCTGTGACCACACTCTGTGATCTTGGCTTCCGGGGGCCTGGGAGTCGCTGCTCCACGGAGCGTGCTCTCGATGCCGGGCAGGGCTGACCCCGCGCCTGGCGCCATCACACCAGCGTCTCCCAGGGTCGGCAGGCTCGGGGAGAGAAGGCAGTCCTTAATGCCCGAGGCTGGCTTCTGGAGAAGTCACCAGCGGGAGGCCAGTTGGGGACCACTGCGGGACCAAGGGACCGTCTATGGAGGATGCACCTGACACGCGGTGACTCTATCCAGAAAATAAAGTCCAGGAGGGAACATGACCTCGGTCTGTATGGAGTGACTTCCAGTGCTCACTGCCAGGAGGTGAAGCAGCCAGGCTGGCAGGCGCCAGAGCAGGTTAGACAGACCCCTGGCAGGTCTGCCATCCCCACCAGGAGGCACAAGCGCAGGGTCAGGGTGGGGGGTGCAGACCCCCGCGGGGCGGGAGGCCTTGGACACCAGGGCCACTTGGGGCTTTAGGCAGAAGATTCTTCTTCCGCATCAGCTTCCTTTTAATTTATATGCTCTTATTTCTGACAGTTTTCTTTTTAAGATTTTTAAATTTATTTGAGAGAGTGAGTGTGCGCACAGAGGGAGAAGGAGAAGCAGGCCTCCTGCAGAGAAGGGAGACCCATGCGGGGCTCAATCCCAGGACCCTGGGACCATGACCTGAGCCGAAGGCAGACACTTAACAACTGAGCCACCCAGGCGCCCCATTTCTTAGTTTCCTAAATTTCCACGATTTGAATCTCTTTCTGTATTCCCTTAGAATTCATAGTTTTAGAGACTTGTTGCATCACTTTGATCCTCTAGGACAGTCTCGTGCATTTTTATCAACCTCCCCACGCTTAGGAATGCTGCAAAGTCTCCAGTAGCTTTCTCTTCCCCTTAGAATTCCTTACACCCTCATCCTTTAGTTCCACGTTATAAAACGTAAACTCGGGGGTGGTTGTGGCCCTAAACGTGCCCCACGGGAAGCGGCTTCTGGGAGGCGGGCCTGTGCTGATGCGGGGTTGCTGGGGTTGGCCGGGCGGCGGGAGGAGGAGCAGAGCCAGTGGCCCTACTGCTCCATGGCCTGAGCTCGCTTTTCAGCCTATGTGTTAGAGATTTAGAAATCTGGCTTTTTCTTTCCTTTGAGGGCGTGAGGAAAGGCATTCAAGACTGAAGGAACAGCATATGTGAGGCACACCCAACCTGAAATCAGATTGCACTGATCCAGAGAGAGGTGCTTCATGTGACGGGACAAGGAGGAAAGAGGGCTGTGGAGACAGGCAGGATGAAAGTGGCCGTGGTCCTGATCAGACCCTTCTTCAGAAGACCACCAGTGGCTGGAGAGAGGGCAGGGCAGGGCTGAGCTGCTGCAGTGGGGACCAGAGGGGCCGGTGTGCCGCACAGTCGGTGAGAGCCCGCAGGGCCCAGGGTGTCTGTGGGATGAGCGTGGAGCACTGCAGCCAGGCAGGAGGGACCCCAGGAGTCCTGCTGGAAGGGGCATCGCCAGGTCATCTGCAAGGCTGCTGGACACCCAGCACAGGAGCTGAGAATCCTTGAGGAACCAGGAGTGGGGCCTGAACCCTCTTCTCCCCGAGCCTAGCTGGTTTGGTTTGAGCTGAGGCAGCTCCAGGCCCCAAGATGGGGAAGGAACCACAGACAGACACCCCAACAGGAGAGCTGACCTACTTCATCCCCCATCCCCAGCCCATCCCTCTCCTCCAGGCCCTGGGGCCTTGGGGGCGGGGGCGGGGGCGGGGGGCGGGGAGGGTGACGACACTCCCAAGGGGCCCGACACCCACGCGAGGGCTGAGGAGGTCTGTGGAAAATCTGGCCCCATCCAATGATGTGGCTCAACCGAAACACAGTGGCCCGTCCCTAAGCATGACAGTGCCACTCAGAACGTGGCCTGACAAGAGAGGAAGGGGCAGATCCTGCTGGGCCCAGACCTGGGCCTCAGGCCAAGCCCCTCCACTGCTCCCCCCTTGGGAAGAATGCCAGGTAGCAGTACACAGGTCCGCTGCCGCGGGTCCAGGGGACCCCACCCCTGGCCACAGAAACAGCTCCGGTGGAGGGAAGGCTCCAGCCGGCTAACCGCACACACCAGAAGGCCCAGCCCCAGCAGTTTACAGACAGGCATTTATTTCTCTGCCAAGTACAAAGTGCAGAGAAGGAGGGTCTGGGCGTTGTGTCACCATCAAGGCCTCAGGGAGTCAGATTCCATCTGCCTGCTGTGTCCAGGTGGAGGCTCCCTCTCAAGGTCCTTTCCTGGGGTCAAGGTGTCCCTGAGGCTCCAGATGGAACGGCAGGAAGCAGGAACAGCAGGAGGGCCCAGCCCCTGGAAGTCGTGTGTGCGTCTCTGCATCATTGCCCAGCACGCAGGCGGGGCTGCACCAGGCACAGGCAGCTGGGACACCAGCTAGGTACCCCAGATAAAAGCCAGGCTCCAGGACACAATCCCAGCCTCCACCACAACTGCAGTGTGCAGACTGGCATCCTCGAGGGAGGCCCTACCAGGCATGCTCTTGTTGCCCGTCTGAGCTGCTAAGACCCCACCTCACTTAGGAAGCCCCACCCCCTGCCCACCATGGAGTGTCCTGGCCCTTTGGTTGCAACGACACAGAAAGGCAAACGAGTTTTTTGCGGGGCAAATGCCAATCCCAGATATTCAGTCCAGGACTCCAGGGGGAGCTGATGTCAGCTGCGTCTCAGGGACCCTCAGCCCAGTCTTAGGAAGCAGCTGACGGACTAAGGCTAATGGAGGAGTGAGCCAAGGCCAGCACCTGGAAGGAAGGCTGGAAGGCGCTGGTCCGAGGGTGGCCACTAGCTGCCTGGGGATGACCATACTCCCCAGGTGAAGGACAACCTGGCCCAGCCCACCTGGCCTGGACCCACGTGAGCCCAATTCTTTGACCACATAGAGACAGCAATGTCCCAACACCCCAGACCTGACACCTGCAGGGCCAGAGCCTGGAGATGAGGGGCGAGTGTTCCCAGAGACCGGGGGCCAGACCAGCAGGCAGGCTGACTGATTTGGCCGCTCCATCTACAGGATACCCCAGGCCAGCTGCTGTCCAGCTCCCTTCTGGGGACCAGCAGGATACTGATGGTGTAAGCCAGCCGCGTCCTCTGAGACCCCCACTCCCATGCAGACTCGTCAGTGTGAAGGGCGGGCCACCTGTGCTCACCCAGACCCTGTGGCCACACCAAAAGCCTGAGGCTTACCTGCACACAGAGGGACTTTCCTGGGTAGACAGCCTGGGCTCCACTTGAGCCCAGAGGGGCTAACCCCACCCGCTCCTGCATCAAGGAGCTGGCCCACAGAGGTTCTAAGAGGTCCCCCCAAATACCAAGATCACGATTAGGCTGCTCACCCCACCCCGCAGCTGAGGCCAGCAGGCCATGTGTGATACCCCACTCTGCAGACACGAGGCCCCTTCCCTGAACCCCAGCTCAGGTCCAACTCCAAACCCTAGAAGATTCAACTCCCTTTCCCGAAGGAGGGAAAGCCACTGGCGTCCCTGCACGAGGGGGCTTAGGGCAGGTGGGCCGAGAGGCTACCCACGAAGGGGCAACAAGGCAGAGAACTCAGTCCCCACAGCCCCTCAGGAGAGCACCAGAAAGCAGGGTGTTTGGCCCTGGAGTCCCTTCCCCACCCGACAGGCCCACATAGCCTGGGCCTCAAGCAGGCACGAGGAGAAGCTGAAGCTACAGGGTCGGGCCCGGGGAGCGGGGGCCCTGCCTTCCTTCCTCAACACACAGGGCTGCCCAGGCCCCGCTCCTGGGGCCCGGCCTATACCCCACAGATGCTGGTGTCAGATGCCTCCAAGACTGGAGAAGCTCCAAGTCAACTGGCTGTGGATGGCACAACATAGGCCCTGGGAGCAGGGCCACGGGCCAAGACGGCTTGGCCGCAGTCAACGCTCCACATGGCCCTCAGCGCACCCAGGGCTGCAGCACACCAGCTTCACTGCTCTGTATCCAGCTCTGGCTGGACCCCACCCTGCCCCCTGTAGGCCCCCCCCTCTAGTGTCACTATCCTTGACTTCCCTGGGGCAGAAATGAACACAGGGCTTTGGGCATGAAAACCAGCACAAGCCCCCAAGTTCAGTGCTCAGCAGCCCCTAGGAGAGTCCACAGTTGCCTGCTGGCAGGAAGAGTGGGGGGAGGTCTCAGGACCGGACACCCCACACCTTGGAGACCCCAAGCCTGGAGCTGGAGAGGCCTCCCCACAACTCCAGATCCTCACTGGTGGTCTGGCCCTTTAAGACCCAGCCTGGGGGCGCCTGGATGGCACAGTCGGTTAGGGGAGTTAAGCGTCTTCGTTAAGCCTCTGCCTTCGGCTCAGGTCATGATCCCAGGGTCCTGGATCGAGCCCCGAATCAGGCTCCCTACTCTGCGGGAAGCCTGCTTCTCCCTCTGTTTGCTGCTCCCTCTGCTTGTGCTCTCTCTCTCTCACTGTGTCTCTTTCTGTCAAAGTAAGGAAATAAAATCTTTAAATAAAAAAAAACACCCAGCCTGGCCACCCAGAAGGACCAGCCAGAGCCTCTTCCTGGGCTCCTTCAGGGGCTACAGGCACTCAAGAGCCCAGGCCTGTAGGACCCAGGCCTTGGCGATCCAGCTCCTCTTCTAATGTCTCCCTCAAGGTCACCAAGCCATCACCAGCTCCCTGACCCCACCCAAACCCCTCTGTTGCACCTGGCCAGGCCACCCCTGCCCTTAGCGTAGGGACTATTAGTGATAGGTAGTAGTGCTTTCTTGACATGGTTTACAAGGGAATGCGATGAGTACTTGAAGCTCCTGGATGGCCCACTGTGACCTCCAGCACAATCCAGGCTACCACTAAACCATGTCCCAGGTCACCAGCCTCCAAGGACAGGCACTGCAGAGGCCATCAGGCCCATAGAGAATGAAGGCAGAGGGAACATTCTGATTCCAAAGGGAGAGCAGCCCCACATGCCAACAGGTTGCCCTCGACCCCGGGAAGGAAGGGAGGGGCTCAGGACACTGGGAGAACCAGGCGTGGGGCT